TCCCTCTCTCTCTATTTCTTTCTCTCTCTCACACTCATAACAATAAATGGAACAAAACTCTCTCTCTCTCTCTCTCTCTCTCTCTCTCTCTTGTGTCAGCTCTTAGTCTCATTGATTTGGCTACCTTAGGGCTGCGTTCCCCGCGCCCACGTGTCCTCACTTCTTTTTGGGGTCCTCTTCTACCCGAGGACAGGTCCAATCCCCCCCACTTCTTTTTTGGGTCCACTTCCACCCGAGGGCCGGTCCTTCGTTTTTCCAAAAGTCCCGGTTCTAGAAGAGCTAGCTGTAGGTAGTCCGCAATTTTGCCAAGGACCGGTCCCCAAAAAACATTTGTCCCCTAAGAACCCACTTTGCGTCCTGGTCGCCCGCCACTGAAAGTGCGACACCTTGACACAGACGTGGAAGCACACTATACCGCAGCCTAAGGGCTGCGAACAGCCAAATTTCTCCAACGCGGCCGTGGAGAGATTTGGCTGTGAAGAACGTCGAATGCCTGTCCTTAATGCAAGAGGTGCGATATGGGCAGTGAAACATGCACTAGTTGCACAATTGACCCGCTGCAGCTTTGCCTGTGGCTCATGTCGAGCTTCTGCTATGTAGGCATGCATACACGCATACATGTGTTTAGAGTGGGTTCTATAGCTGTGATAAATCAGTTTCTCAGACTAACTGATGTGGGGGGTATCCCGAACTCTGGGTGACGTGGTGTGTGTGTGTGTGTGTGTGTGTGTGTGTGTGTGTGTGTGTGTGTGTGTGTGTGTGTGTGTGTGCCTCTGTGTGTATGTGTGCGTTGGGGGCCATCCGCCATAGAATACTCCACATGTGTCAGACTGTTTCATTGGACTTTCATCGACTCATGAGGCGGGCTGTGTGTTATGTTTGCTATACGCAATCCCACAAAAAAAGCATGACTGTGCCGGACTGTTTGTGTGTGAGTTGCGTGTGTGTGTTGTCATGTTCGTCATACCCAACTGCCCAAAAGCGGGCATGTGCCGGACTGTTATTACGTTGGATTTTAACGGACTCATCAGGCCATCAAAAAAATGAGAAAAAGAAAGGCCATAAGAAAAAGAAGAAAAGAAAGACGATCCTCTCTGGTGCATCATTCTCTCTGCTTCCCTCCTCCCTCCATTGTTATCGCCGTCCTCCCTCTTCCGCCCCGTTCCGTGACCCTCCTACTTTGCTATTTGTGCCGAACTGTTATTACGTTGGATTTTAACGGACTCATCAGGCCATCAAAAAAAATGAAAAAAAGAAAGGCCATAAGAAAAAGAAAAAAAGAAAGACGATCCTCCTTGGTCCATCATTCTCTCTGCTTCCCTCTTCCGCCCCGTTCCGTGTCCCTCCTAGCTATTTCTTAATGTCGCCGTCGACCTCATTGCCGCCCGTTCGCGCCCTTCCTCACTTGTTGTCCTCCCTCCATCCTTTTCTCCTCTATCCATCGTTGTTATCCTCGTCCATTGACGTGAATGCCCGCTGGTTGCAGCCTCCCCCTCCTTCCCTCCCTCCATCCTCCCCTCGTTCTCCTCCCCCCCCTCCAGCTGCTCTTCCTCGTCCACAGTCGTCCTCTTCAATGTGCAGTCTCGTGTTTGTGTCATGTTTGCTATTCGTAACTCCACAATCAAAGCATGATTGTGCCAGACTGTTTCATCGCCGTAGAGCGTTGTCATCTTCTGCACTCTCTCATCCTCCTTGCTGTCCTCGTGGCCCCTCCTCCACTACAATTCTTTAACTTCGTAGTTGTCACAGTCTTCTCCCTCCTCCTTGCCTGTGTACTCAGTCTCGCTTCTCCTCCTCATCCTCGCCGTCCTCTTACTTTCCTCTGTGCTCCTTTCCTTCGTCATCATTGTCTTCCTTTCTCCTCGTCTTGTAGTCTGTCTTGGATAATGTTTGTTGTCCTTCCGTTCCCTTCCTCGTCTTCCTTCCTGTTCCTGTCAGTCTCGTATCCCTTGTCCCTTGTCTTGTGTGGTCCTTCCTTTCCCCTCCTCGTCTTCCTTCCTGCTGCTTGTCTTCCTCCTCCTGTGCGTCGCAATTCGTCGTCCTCATCTCGTTTATCGTCTTCTGTTCCGTGCCTTTCTTCCTCCTCCTTGTCTTCTTCCTCCTGTCCGTCTTTTATTCCTTGTCCCTTGTTTTCCTTCCTGCTCGTCTTCCTCTTCGGCCTCCTCCTCCCTGACGCCTACTCAGCCGCACTTCTCCTTTTGATTGTCTCCGTCTCTTCTCCTCTACATCCGCCTCTCCTTTTCCTGTCGTCTCCCTTCTTCCTGTCCTCCCTTCTGCTCTACCTTATCTCCGCCGTCTCCTCCTCAGATATTCTCTGTCTCTTCCTCCTTGTATCCCTCTTCCCCCCACGATGGGGAGTTTCCGTGTCGAATTTGGCTCCTCGTTCAATTGAATGTCTACTTCAGGTCTGGCAAGCAGATGAACGCGAGAGCCAAAGGCACGCCTTGAAGGCTGCTCTCCGATTGCCGCAGGATCTTCACAATTGCCCTCCCCATAAAAGACGTCAGCCCGAGCGTGGCGGTTGTGTTTTTGTCAGCAACCTGCAGCAGCAGTTGCTCTACCCAAAAAAGACGACTCAGCCCGAGTGCGGCGCGAGCGCAGCGCTCCCTGACTCAACAATCGCACTCGCTTTCCAAAGAGTGCTTCCCCCGGGCCGAAGACCTGTTGTGCACAAAGAAAACAACACGGCCTACCCGCGAAAAAAAAAACAAAAAACACAGCCTGCTAAAAAGGCGCGTGCGACTCACTTTTTTGTTTTTTCTTCCTTTGGTCGGGTGCAAAGAAAACGGCGCTGCCGACCTGCAAAAAAGCAAGGTGATACAGCCCCCTGCAAAAGGTGCAGGCAATTCATTTTATTTTCTTTTGGTTGCCATGCCCATTCTGGGCCCACTCCTTTCCCAAAGCAGGGCGGTGGAGTCTCGCGTGGGAGCAGGACTGCTCCCTTTAGAAGAGGAATGGTGATGCAGGTGGTTGACTGAAACCGGAGCCGTTGAGAAGTCGCGAAACTGTGAGTCAGAGACATTAGTTAAGAGCTGTCATGTGGACCGTGACAACCCTGCTTTGAAATGCGTCGCCATATGTGAGACTGCTCTGAGTAATCTGAATTTGAATGCAGAGGTTTTAGGGCACTAAATGATCAGGAAAGCTATGCCACAACACCTCTGGGCCTCAGCTTAGTATGCCTTGAGGCTTTGTCAATGATTGAGTTGAGCTGCCAGTTCCCTTCCTGAAGGCTTCCTGACTTTGACTCTCTGGTTCTTTTTGCTCCTTGTTGTTGTTGCCTCTGTGTGTCTGTGAACTGCAGCCATGTTGCAGTCGTAATGAGGTACAAGCCTTTGACTCTCTGGTTCTTTTTTTGCTCGTTGTTGTTGCCTCTGTGTGTCTGTGAACTGCAGCCATGTTGCAGTCGTAACGAGGTATCAACAGTCTTTGGGGTTACCGACACCGGAATTGCTATAAGATGTGGGAGCTCTGATCTGTCTGTCATTCTTGAAGAACTTCTGTATGGCATCGTTTCGAATGCCTGCTGTTGTATCGGAAAGCCTACCCACTCCGTTTTCTCAAGACCTGTGCTTCCCTGTTAGCTTTGGTGATATTGAACTGCGGAGACTCTGGCGAGGAGGGGCGTGGCATCTGGAGATGGACGCGTTTGTGGATTTTAGTGTGATGTTGAAGCCTTCCGGTGACGGGATACCCCCCCATCGCGGAGGACGCTTTGCATGGGGATTAAGTGGGTGAAAAGGCAACAAACTACTTCATGTTTCATGTATTGTTTTCAAGTTTGTAACAATATTGTCGACTTCGCAATCCTCGATTGTTGAACCTTCTCATTCATGGTGTCAAAAGGCATGTTTGTTTCCCTGTGTGTTTATTGAGTGTAAATACTGCATTCCTTCCAGTCGGGGGTCTCCCAGGGCAGTACCTTCTCAGCAACTGCAGCTGGGCTTTCCGCTTCTCAGCAGACCTCTATTTAACTATCCTATCCCTCTGGCCTGTTCTACTCTGAACCTTTTCGATCTCCATGGTCTGGCACCCTAGGCGGACCATTGTACGTGTGTGCATTCTCTCTCTCTCTCTCTCTCTCTCTCTCTCTCTCTCTATCTCTATCTCTCTCTCTCTCTCTCTCTCTCTCTCTCTCTCTCACACACACACACACACACACNTCTCTATCTCTCTCTCTCTCTCTCTCTCTCTCTCTCTCTCTCACACACACACACACACACACACACGCACGCACACACAGGCGTGCGAACACGTTCACACACACACACACAGACACACTCGCGCGCACACACACACAGGATTGCGAGGTTGGTGTGAGTAAAGTCGACCACTTTTCTCAGGGGTGTCAGAAACTCTGGGCGATGTGGTGAGTCCTTGTCCATCAGTCAAATGAATCCTGGGTAGACTGTCGGGGTTCAACCTCCTGATGAGCCGGTGAAAGTCCGACGAAACGATCTGGCACTCTTATGCTTCTTAAGTGTATAGTGAATATGATGACACACGCACACACACAGGGGCACTTATGCACATTCTCTCTCTCTCTCTCTCCCTCTCTCTCTCTTTCTCACTCTCTCTCACAAACATACACAGATGCATGCGTGCACGTTTTCTCATCTCTCTCTCTCTCTCTGTGTGAAAGTCCGATGAAACAGTCTGGTGCAGTCATGTTTTTTTCGAGTGTATAGCGAATATGACAAAACACACGCCCAAGCACACACACACACATACGGGATTTTCGTGGTATAATATTTGTGAATAAGAACAATCTTAAACCTATAAAGAAAGTACATGGATCTAATTTGTATATGCTCATTCCTTCAATTATACTTTCTTTGCTAAGTTCCGTTTTTTTTCTCTTCTAGTACATGACTAGGGGCATGCCCTGAGACAGACCCCCGGTAAATTGCCTGGCGGGTCATGACTAGGGACTTTTCCTCTTTTTTTTTTATTGTGGTCCGATGGACCACGGATCAGATATTAAACCGATCAGAACAGATACTACACTTGATCTTACTTAGCCAAAAGGCCGAGAAAGGTATGAAACGGGTTTTTCCTATTTCACCTGCAAATCTTCTTTTCAGAATTGTAGTGATAGTTTGCACTGACTTCTTCCATTGGGAAGGATTGGCTGTCAGATATGCCCATAGTATTGAAACAAAGCTCTGATCTTCTTTTCTGTACTTGTTTGTGCTAAGATACAGGCTGGAAACCGAATCTCTGTACTTTTCCTCTCAGCTTGAGGTTGCATGATGCCTGATGAAAGTGTATAAACTAGATCCGCCGAAGATTTGCAAGCCTCAGGATCCAGCTCTTCATCTGCTTCTTATCATTTGGCCACAAGTGAAACATCCAGTTGGGTACACAGTTGCAGTGCTCCTGTCCTTTGCTTACAGACAAAGGCTGTGTCTGGTCACTGTGCTGCTCCCATTGCGTCGGAAGTAAGTGTTCTTTTTTTCACTCTGGCTTGAAGATCCTGAAATGCTGTTTAAACTTTAAACTTCAAGCTTCAAAATTTTAAAATAAAACTTGAGCAGAGTTACTCGAAGAAAGTAGATAGTTCCGCTCCAGCAAAGTTGTTTTCATAAATTTCATGCTCTTATGCGGGAGTCCAATGCGGGAATTCAGCACAAAGAGTAACTGGAGCATGAGTGGTGTGCTGTAGGTATTGATTTGATGATTATATAATATTATATTATGTATGAGTCCTGGTTGCCGGTCCACATGGCGGCCCCTCCCGAATCCGGAACAGTTCCGGTCAGACCGGCCTGGCTGCCCCCCCCCGGCTGGAACCAGCGCATCCCAGCTGGGCAGGCTTACCAGGGTGAAAATGCCACCGGAGGCCTCCTGCAACCTTGTGGAGGGTACCGACCTTGGAAATCTGAAAACGATGTCCGGCAGGCCCCGTTTCTTTGGTTGAAAAGGGCAGCCAGCCGATCTGGGCGACCATTCTTGAGAGATTGGCGGCCCAGATCCACCACCGTTTCTGCGACGCATTACCCACTTCCTGTTTCTTGCCTGTGAAAAAGAAATTCAGCTCATTTGGAAGGAAAGACGAGAAAGAAGTGTTAACAGGTTGGGTTGGGTGGAGGGTCCGCTCCTGTAGATGCAGCAGCTGCTGTGGAAGGTGCTGCAGGTGCGACACCTGCTGCATCTGCTGCAGCAGATGCAGCAGGCGCAGTGGCAGCAGGTGCAGCATTGCTGCTGCAGTATGCAGTATCACCGTGGAGTTATTTCCCCAGGTCCGCTCCTGTAGATGCAGCAGCTGCTGCAAAAGGTGCTGCAGGTGCGGCATCTGCTGCATCTGCAATATCTGCTGCAGCAAATGCAGCAGGTGCAGTGGCAGCAGCTGCGCATTGCTGTTGCATCTGCTGCACCAGGTGCTGGGGATGCAGCAGCTGGGCAAGTGCTGCAGCTTCAGCAGCAGACGTGGCATCTGTGACATCTGCACCGCTTCGGGCTGCCACAACTGCAGCCGGAGGCACCCAAGGACAGCTGCTCTGCTGCTGCATGTGGTGCTGCAGGCCATGCCGCTGCCGGTAGTTGCAACTGCCGCAGCAGTTGCCAACGACTGCAGCAGGAGATGCACCCATAACTGCAGCACGACTGCAGGAGCAGATCCGTCCGATCTAAGGTCACATGACCTCCAAGATAGAACAGTCCAGATTGGGCGGCCTGTGACCGTGACCGTGACCTCCAGCAGACGTCCAGGCCATGAAACAAAACGTTTCTCTGGGGACGGACAATTGTCTCATGCAGGCAGCTGATCCGAGATGTGGGGACACGATCCCCAAGTTTGCAATTGGTTGGAATTCGGGATCGCCTGAAAGTGCAAACACTGAGGTCGTCCGACTAAAACTCGGGCAACCAGGGGCGGTGCGTCCCGCACGTCCGCTGCTCCGGTATGCTAGTTGCGTTGTGATTTTATGTAAGGGTGCGGTTTTGATTTTGATACTGTGCTCGTCAAGGCCGGCACTAATTAGAGGAACGTTGCAATATTTTCGTCAAGTGCTGTGTTATCACTGAACGTAGCGTTATCTTATGAAATTTCTCATTATACTACGATGATTGTAGCAGAGTGGCTTTTTCTTGTTTTTCTTGGTGTGAAGGTATAACTGTGAGCTTGAAAATGAGAAATGATGATTGCAATAGAGTTGTTTGATTTATTTTTTGTCCTTGGAATGTGGAAGGTCTGGAGGCGATAGTTTTCGGTTGGCCTGGTGGCATAATTATCGAACTGATAGATTGTGTGGAATTTTAGTTGTTTGCTCAATCTGGTTTCATCAATGGGTGTGTTACTCACTAGATTCTCTGTGTGCATGTGGCGAGTAGTGTAGAGAGGCCCACTAGATGACATTTTTTGAAATGTTCTCTCCTGCTGTGTTATCGCAGACATAGGTTCTGCCACCGGTTGGCAGTTACAGAGGGACCATAGAGATTTTGGTGAGCGACTGTCCCATGCTGTGACGTCTTGGGTCTGGGTCTTGTATGAACTTAGTGGCCTCGTTATTGACCTAGACAATGAAGAGGACGACTTCCCACATGGACATGTCTATCCGGTGAAGCAGGAATTCATCAACTTACGTGCTATCTATGTGCAGTGTTAGTATGATTCCTATCAAGGACCTAGCAGGAATTCTTCCCTTTGATTTCTTCTGTCTATTGTCCCGGAAGCTTCCCCTCCTCCCTCCTGCCTCCCCGACATATCTTTAGGGCACTTGTTATCATGCAACGGCAACTCCCCTGCTTCGAACTTCTCGAAAAACTCCTTCGCTAATTTGCCTGAGGGAGGGTCACAAGCTTAAGGTGGCTGAAGTACAAGTCAGTTCAACCGCTTGTTTTCGAATTGCATAGATGACAATTAAAGAATATGATGGAATGCGCGTGTAAGTCGGTCTTGGTCAGTTTAACCACTTGTTTGAGAGCTGCATTGGAAGAGAATTAGAGAATACGACGGAATACGGGCCAGGTGTGTAAGGCTCAGTAAGTTCGACCTATGTTGCGGTCTGAATGCCATGAACGTGTGTTCGCGTTCAAACGCGGGTGTTTAATCCCCTCGTGCGCGCGTCAATCATGTTGAAACGCGCCAGGTGTGTGCACAGGCAGAAAAAAAGAACTCATGCGGCCCACAAAGGTGCGCACCATGGGGGCTACGAGGGGGTGCAAAGAGTTCCAAAGGTGGGGGGGGCGAGGGAGATGATGCTTTTGGGGGTGTGGGGGTGTGGGGGTGGGCTGTGACACCCCTGATGCAACTTGACCCCCCAGTGTCCCAGAGCCCCCGAAAAATACTAAAGTGGTAAGCCCCTCAAACCCCACTCCCCCTTATAACACTTGGGCATAGAGGGTCTTCCGGATGTCAGGGCTTTAAGGGGGTCCAGGGGTCTTAGCATGGCCCGAGTGTGTGTGTGTGTGTGTGTGTGTGTGTGTGTGTGTGTGAGAGAGAGAGAGAGAGAGAGAGAGAGAGAGAGAGAGAGAGAGAGAGAGAGAGNAGAGAGAGAGAGAGAGAGAGAGAGAGAGAGAGAGAGAGAGAGAGAGAGAGAGAGAGAGAGTATATAGCCCAACCTCCTGCCTCTAAACAACCCCAAACCAAGCATAACCCACTGACGGCGCCTTTTTCTGTATTTGATTTTTTGAAATATAAAACAAGTCACCAGAAATAAAACAACAAATATGGGGATGTGCCATTCAACATCCTATGCACCCCCTCTTTTTTTCTTCTTTTTTTTTGCAGCCTTCTGGGACCTGATTTTTTTTTTAATACTTTCTTTATAAGAAGAACAGCCGAGATGGTGATAGGGATGCGCTGATAGGAGCAGACAACACTATCACTCTCGGGAAGGCTCTGTCTATTGGTGGGGAGCAGCACCTGCTAGAAACTGGGTCCAGTGTCCCATTGATACATCATGTTTGGTTATTTATACAGCCGTCTGATTGCGGCGACTGGTTCTGATTATCCGTGGGGGAGTTCAATTGATTGAACTCCGTTTTTCGAACGGAGCTCTACTCCATTCAGATTTTGAACGGGATCTGCTCGTTCAGTGAACATGTGGTTTCGAATTTCAAATTTCAACCACTAGTTTTCTAACTGCATTGGATGACAATTAGAGAATCCGAGGGAGAATTTGGGCCACGCGTTGTATATATGAAATTATGAATGTATTGGGACTTTTTCCCGATGGGAGTCAGTCAAATGGAGGTTTCAAAATGGTGCGCAGACCGACAAGGCCACCATTTTGTTATCAGACCGCTGACTTCTTCACCTGAATACGACGTGTGCTGCACAATCCTTATAGCTGTGTTTGCGTAACTTTGGGGTATCTTTCGGGCCAAATGTATGTATTGCATTGGTCTGGTATCTTTCACGCTTAATCGCCGCATGTGCTATTGGTCCTCTTTTGCCTTAGTTCAATGTACGCTCATTATAGCTGTGCTTGGGGTATCTTTAGTCTATGTACTAAATGTGATGGAGCACTAATGACCATAAGTTGGTACTCGGGTGAAGCACGGCAGACCTTAAACTGTCAGATAAAATTTTGCCCGACACTCTGCATCTGTCCGTCTGATGTGGGGATGGTGACACCCTTCGTCACATCCAATTGCGACATTTGGCGAGATGTGAGGGGCATCCTTTTGCCCCCCATTTTTTTTCTGTCCCTGCCCCAGCGTCCTTCCTACCTATCGGCTATGAGAAACGTAGGCCGCATTTCTATGAGGTGGACTAGTTATTTATGTCTGACGGCTCTCTGACCTTTTGGGCAAACAACTGGGTCGGGCTCCGTAGGAGCTTTTCAGTTTGTTTATCGGCGTCTATATGAAGTACTTTTGGGTTTATGCTTGGACGGGCCAGTCTCGGCTTTTGTTTATCGGCGTCTATACGAAGAGCTTTTGGGTTTATGCTTGGACGGGGCAGTCTCGGCTGCTAAAACAATGGTGGTTCCGTGTCTATTGCAATATAGACCGCAAGACAATGCGGATGAACATAGTTCAGCGGGGCCCTGATAATGGCACCTGGTTCAGCCTCCCCTGGGCCCTTGCTGCTGGCCCTATCCATGTCTCGTCTTCTCCTTGTATGCAGGCAGAAGTTCAGACGTTTTCGTCGAGAAGGGAGAAGGGGTGGTTGTCCAGTCCAGTCTGGTGGTTCAGTCTTCTTGTGCTCCAGAGCGCTTGTGACTTTGGTCTGATAAACGTGTGGCTTCGGCCACATACAGCCAACCTGTCCAGCTAAGGCAGAGGATCATTATATAACATGAAAAAACAAAGCTTTTTGCTGTGGAGCCATAGACACTCCTCCAGGGAAGATATGCACAGTGCGTCCGTGGGCCGCGAGCCTTGAAGCCTCGGTTCCCGCGAAGATGAGCCTCTGCACAGTAAGTCTGTGGCGCACAAGCTTTGAAGCTTAATTTCGTCCGAAGCAGAGCCGGGGCTATGACATGCTGCATGCGTGGGCTGGTAGCGAACAGGGACGGTCGCTATGGAGATGAAAGCTGGAGGCACGAGGCACAAGCCGTGGAAGGTCACATTGTCAACGGAGGGTTGTGTGAACTGGCGGTTCAACGAAGAACTCTGGTATTGATGTGTTAGGGAAACGTCTCAGAAAAATTAAGTCAAAAGTTGGGAGACGTGGACAGAGGATTGCACAAAGGGCCTTCAAAAAAAAAAAAA